CTTTAAGGTCATTATGGATGGTTTTATTTGTAACGAAGTAGGGAGCATTGAGGATTTTGGATAGTAAGGATTAGATACGAGAGGAATTCGATGGTTTAGTGGAGCTCCATAGCTCAACTCCGTAAGTCCAAATAGGCCTTATTATTGTCACGTATAAGAGTCTTTTGTAATTAATTGGAAGTTTAGAGCGTTTGTTTATTAAGTGCTGAAGTAATCGGAAACTTTGAGCGGGTTCTTGTCGTTTCAGTCTGGTATAGGTAAAACTGAAAACGTATTAAGATTATGTACAAAAAAATAATTACCAGATTATAAAAATGTATGCAAAAAGTGTTGCAAAAGGAGAGAAATAGCTTTAAAATAATGCCATTTTGGCCAATGCATATTATACAGAATTTAGATATTGCTGTTAATCACAGCAGACTGTAGAAATTCGAATAATTTTAAACCTAAAACGTTGAACAATAAAACTGTGGATGGCTTGTTTAATCTTGTTGTAACCCAAAAATTGTTTTGACGAAAATTCTCATAAGTAGAACGTTTTCTCCTTAAAATAATTAATTTAATAAGGTTTAAAAAAACTTATAAATACCCATTTGCTTTCCACTTGAATCGTAAGATAATTAGATAACAAAATCGAGAAAAAAAATCTGGTTTATTCCCTAACACGACTTTCCCATATTTCAATATGTCGATTAAGAAACAAAAAAAAAAATGAAAAGATTAATTTTACTGAAAATTGATCAAAGAAAAGATTTTAGAAAGATTTCTTGCAACGTAAACCGGATGTGAAAGACCAGCATAAAAAATTCAATATACCCTAATATTGCTAATCAAAAACTTTTTGTCATAGCCCAATTTTGTCAGACAATAACTTCTGTTATAAGTAGAGAAAATAGTGAAGCCTGATGAGGGCACCAGTTTTTTTTTTTTTCTTTCCCTTACTTTTCTTTTTTATCTTTCTTTCACTCCTTTCTGGTACCGGGATTTGAACTCCTAAATCCTAATCCTACATCCGAAATTGAATGAACGAAGATACAGTCGTTAATAGTTGTCCGAAATGAACGATTTTTATAGAATTAAGAATTCCAAACTTCAAAAAAAAGATTTATTTAAAAATCTATATTATACATCGTGATTTATTGCCAATTTAAATTATTATATAATTATAATTATTCTTATTGTTAATTTGTAACCATTATATATATTCCAGTTGTCCGGCTTCATGTAAGCCAACTATAATTTTAGCCTTGTATTCCTAATATTTCTTCGTACATTATATTGTAGTTTTCTACATTTTCTATTTCATAATAATTATAATTATATCACGTTGTAATATTATATATAATATAATAATTAATATATTGTATTCAAGGGGAAATGTTTAGATCGAAAAATAAATACTGTGACCTAGGTAAAATCAAACTACCACCTCCAGATGAATACCATTTCCCGTACAAACTTTTTTTTAAGTAGCAACGGCTGATTGAATAAGAAGGAATTGCTCAAAAACTGTTCAAAATAATTAAATTCTAAGTACACAAATTTGTTTTGAGAAAACAGTGATGAACTTTACTTAGATCAGAAATACAAGGGACTTTCAGGAAGTCTAATACACGGCCTTTTCTCATTAACCTAATTAAATTTAATCACTGTTCATTTAATCATTCAAAAACATTCTGTCTACTTCACGTAGTGTTAGTCTCCTAGATAAATATCTTACTACTAGGTAGTTTACCAAGACTTTATGCGAACCCTACACGGTCATTTGGAATTGCATTCCGAGACACTATTGATATTCCGATTGATTGTGTAAGGTACTGATTGAGTACTGTTGGACGTGTCTGGCGGATTTCCGAAATTCCGTAAATCATACATTCATTCACAAGAAGTGGAGAGGTGACTGAGGTAAAAATGGTGGGGAGATTAACTTTGCTATTAGTTAGGTTAGTTTACCTAGGCCTCGCAACCATTGTAAATTCTAGATTTTCATTAAAATTAAATAGTTTTTCATATCCCTTGTTTTTATTTATATAAACAATCTTCAACTTTTTATTAAATAGTCAAGTGGGCAATAAATTAAAAAAAGTGTGAAATTACACGATTTAGAATAAAAGGAAAGGAGATTTTATTCTGGGGCATTTAGTCCCTAAAGAATAATTATAATGAACTAATTACTATATCTCTACTTTTTTCTTAATGCTATAAAGGATAATGGCCAAACAGATGTTTTTAATGATGCTCATTATTATTCTTGGACAATGCAACAAACCCTCATTGCCTGTTATCTCAACGTCAACTGACCTAAAATGACGTCAGTCTGATTGATACGTATAGAGTTCATCATGATTGAAGCAATCATTGTCAATCTTGTGACTGTCAGGTACGGTCGGCTTAACGGTCACTGACTTCTATTTTGTGGATGATGATGTAGAAGGAAGTTGCCCGATAATAAAGTTACCTGTAGCAACCCCTCGGTCCCTACCTGAGTGGGTGGCTGACGCCCACTTTCCGACCTCATGCGATCGTAAAACGTAACGGTGCACTGAAACAGGCCACTAGAGGAGTTTAATTTACGTTGAGCCTCGGATGAGATAGTGCATATGTGCCATTGAGTATGCATAGCCAATGTGAGCTTGCCAATTGTGAGGATTGTATTGGATCGTTCGCTTCACAATGCCAGGTTAATCTTTGTGGAAGTTATTTAGTCATAGCCTAGTTACCAACCGCTTGTATCGATAGGTTTCAGAAATAATTTCGATTAATCGAATAATAAGTTGAAACATTGTTACATTAAGTCCTTTATTCAACTTAACCAAAATATTAAATAATGAATGATGCTTAAAATGCCTATCCAAAGATAACCATGTTTATAGAAAAGAGTAGCTAAATAAATTAAATGAGGCAAGAGACATGAATATGAATGAACTAAAAAAATAACACTATATTTACATTGACAAAATAACTTTTAATATAAACTAACCTATGTGTTGAACTGTTACACCCCTTTTATAATTGATTGCAATACTTAAAACGAACAAATACACAGAGAAGACTCCAAGTCTCCATGTTCATTCTATATCTTGTACATGTTAATCTCACAACAAAAGGACGCTTCCCCAACTCTCAAGATGGCGGGGCACTTTGGGTACCCTACTATTTATACGGAATCCTCCGCATTAAAATCTTTTTCATGAATACATAATCAGTTGTTTTGATCACGATTTATCTATTTAATTAAAAGTTAATTAAACGTACATATTTTTTTTTCTAGCGAGTCTCTTTAGTATTCAATTTTTTTTTTCGTTATTGACATTTATTCACTATATCCGTAATGAATATAGTGTAAGTAAACAGAACGTAGATTTGTGATTTATTTTTCTTCTTTTTTAATTTTTAATTTTATATGTGTACATATGAGTGTGTGTGTGTGTGTACGCATATGTAAATATAAATTTTTTTATTAGAAGAAAATTCCATCGTGTGCTGGTATAAATATCATTTTCATTGATAAGTGATTATTTATTTTTTTATTCATGTATTATATTTTTTATTTGTTTTATCTAAACTATTTTTTCTTTATTATTTCTTATGTCCATCCATATATAATTCTTTATAATAATCAGCCAGACATTCAATTCCATCGTGTAATTGTCTATAACTGTAAAACTAATTTTTTCGTGATTTAATGGGCAGATATATTTATTATATTTATATGGTAAACGCTATTTGTATGAGAGCTTTACCCCTGCCCTTCACCCCCCCCCCTCCCAAAAAACAGTAATAATAACTGCCTTTCATAATAACTTAGTCCTTAAAAAAAGGAAACTAGTGATATTTTTACGTTATATTAAATTTAAATGATTACATCACACTTTTATATTATTATATTAAATTATATGTCAAAAATATCATAATATAACATGAAGTTAGATTTTTTATAAATTTTCTTGTTTAGCAGAGAAAAGTTATCTTAAAAAGTTATTTTAGTTTTTATGATTAGGTTTTTTTTTTTGGTTTATTATTTACGTTGATTTCCTTTTTTTTCTGTAAATATTGTATGAATGAAAACTTGTAGTCCTAATTCTTATTACCCTTCAATATGGCAGATTCTATTGATAAATTGTAAAAAAAAAAAATATTGAATATTTAATGGTCGACCGTTTCGTATTATAGTGGTAAAACTATTTAGCCTTTTTATGACCGCAACCCCGGACCATCTCCTTCCTTTAAAAAAAAAAAATACATTTAAATAATTCGCAAAACTAAAAAAGGGTATAATAAAAACCGAAAATCATGGCGAAAGAAACGTTTGATTGGAGCTGAGGCCACAGTTGGAGTTTAATCTGGAACAATAAGGCACTAACAAGTAACCGCACCTGGGTTCTGGGCCATCCCTCTTAAAATAACACTACAGATTTTTTTCTCATGCTACGTCTTGTCATTGTTAACAATTTGTAAATAAGATTTACTTATTTGCTTTTACCTATTTACAAAGAAGCTGTGAAATATAAAAGCGTATTGTAATTGTTTCGTATAGCGTATGGAAATAAACAGATGATATGGTCTTTTATCCAGGTTATTTGACAGATTTTCAAAATTATCATGGTGATCCTCCCTATGGTATATGAACATAGTGTGTTATTCTGAAGTCGACTACTGAATTCTTAAGGTGACTCTGAAGTCTATCGCTGCGCTTTGTTTATCTGCAACATTAACAGAAAGCTGCTGTATTGCCTACATTTTTTTTCGGATTGATTGGCGTAAATAATTGGTAGTTTATTTCTATGATACAGTAATGTTGATGAAAGCCCATAAAAAAAGATTCGAAATAAATATTAATAAGACAAAGTATATGGTTTTCAACAAAAATGGTGATAATTTCAATGTTGTTATTAATTTATTAAACCCCATCTCTGTTTAATAAATAGATATTTCGATTCTATAAAACCTAGTTAGATCCCTAACTATAAAATCCCTAGTTAGATTCTTTCCTATTGCTATTATTCTCTCCGATTCCTCGCTTCACTCTTCCCTCCATGGAGTTTAACCTTGGATGAGTCAAGGTAAGTGTGAGGTACAATACAGTACTCGTATATCCTTATTGTCTTCCTCCAGTCTCCGCAGATGGAACGACAACACCGTAATCGGGCAGAGTATCCTTCAACCTCCTTCTTCTTCGAGGTCAGCTTTGCTTTGCCTCCGTATATCAATATCCCGATCTGCGCAGGATTGCGGAAGGCTTTTGTATCTTCTGTAAATGCTAACGTGTCCTTAGAAGAGCTATATAGAGCTGATCATTAGTGAATAAGGATGCTGTTAATGATAATTTTAGCATTCCCACTAAGACTGGAAATTGATTTTGTATTTGTATTTCAGAACTTCACGGTGAGTTAGTGAGCTTTTCTTTCTAAAATAAAATAAAGTCGATATAAAAATTTTGCTAGGCTCCAATACTGGGACAGTAGTAAGTTGGTGGATTGAGACGGGGCAACTGGGGAAATGAAGGATGTGGATTTTTAGACCCGTTATGTTCCATTGAAACTTTCAGCCCAAAGTTTTTTAGATTTTTAAAAATAATTTAGTGAGTAAAATATTCAAGGATGACTTCTTCGGAGATTAATGACCTTTAATAAATTGCCGAAATGTGTGAACTTTATCCGGTTAATATAATTAACGTGATTACATCGCGGAGAATAAAATGTGCTTGTGAAATTCTTGAGCTTAGTAACGAAAGAATTCCTAAAAGGTAAATATTTGCCGTATCGAATGGTACTCGTCCGAGGGATAGACCGAAGCGAAGGATGGAAGATTGCGTTAAACCCTATCTGAAGGAACTGGGTTAGGACGGCGAACGGTGGAGGGAGGTGTATAATAAGCGATTGGTGGTGTCGGCATCGAACCTTCGAGTTCGCTAAACCTATACCTATTCTTCGAATTTTTTAGCTAGGCTCCGACAGCAAATTTTGAAGGCTTTATGAATTTTTGAGGGAAGTGTATTTTATTTTTAAGGAAGAGAGCATTACAGTGCCTTGGGAGGGTATCGATATTTGGAGAGAGGATGGGCATCCTTGAAATTAATAAATTTACTAACCTGTTGCTGAAACATCATGTAGGTCAAGATCTTTCGATATAATGATAAAAATATATTTTTACATCTATATTAAAATTAGACTGAGTTTTAATTTAAAAAATATCAATAACGTACCTGCCTACTACAACAATAACAACACTTCGGAGATAAGTTTTTAATTAATTTTTTATGGTAATGATTTTTTTTATACAATGTAAACTTACTGCGTTTTATAGTATAGAATTCAGTCAATTAATTTAATTAAAATTTGATTTGATTTATATTGCTATGCTTATCAAAACCTCTAGGCATAAATAACAAAATAACAGTTCACAAATACCATTTCTAGTTTATGAAGTTAAAAAATCGTAACAGTTGAATATGGAGGTACAATTAATAGAATTAAAAGTTAAAGATCAAAATAAGATAAGTTAACAAAGACAATTAAAATAATGGTTAATGATTTTAAGAGTAAAAGTAAAAATTACATTGTTAAAACTAAAAATAAATAATTATTAAAGAATGAAAGCTAAAATTAAAATTAAAATATTAAAAATTACTTGAAAAAAAGTTAACAAAAACCATCAAAAATAAATTTTAAGATTAAAAGAAGAAAAAAATTACAGGCATATGTAAAATTAGAAGAAAGCCTTACAAACTTAACATATATACTTACAATTACAAGATAAACAGTTTAAGGATACAATTTAAATTTAAATTTTAAAATTGTATACAGGTCTGCCTGCGTCTAAGATGTTTATTTTTATTTTTTAAACAACATTTTAATTCTATTTTATTGATTTATTTTTATTTTATTATTACTATTATTATTATTTGTTTTACCTCATCATGATATTTTATTTTGCTCTTATTCCGCTGTACATTAGTTTATAATTACCTTATTTATTTTTGATTCTGTAAATATGTTCTTTGAACTCTGCTGTAAGTGTGCTTAATTGAGACTGATTGTAATATTTATCAATAAATAAGTGATCTAAATAAAATTTTAAATCACGTTAAATCAAGATTTAACAGATACGATTTATATTAAAAATACAAATTTAATAAAGGTGCAAATACTGTTTAAATTACAATAAGTTAGTAAAATTATAAAAAGATGCAGTTTCATTTTTTATGATTTTATAAAAATATTATAAGTTTAATGGCTCTCAGGTCAATTTCGTGATTCAATTTTTTCGAAACATTTTGATTTCTATATGCAATAACATTAAGTTTTTAATACATCGAATTCCTCTCGTATCCAATCCTTACAATCCAAAATCCTCCGTAAAATCAACGCTCCTTACTTTGTCACAAATAAAATCATTCATAAAGACCTTAATGTTCCATATGTTTTCGATTTGGCCCAATCCAGATACCTATCCTTCCATAATAAACTTCAAAACCATCCGAACCCTCTCGTTTCAAAACTTGCTTCCTCCTCGATCCCTGATAACCCTCCCAGGAGTCTGAACGGAAGATGGCCTTCGTGATCTACTTATGTAAATATATTATTGGAGTGCTACCAATGGGTAGTTTCTCAACAAGCGTTTTCATGTGATTGTATTATTACTGCGTGCACATTTACTAGTTGTATTTTTTTATAATACAGTTGTAGATATCAATGAATAACAAAACAAAATAGGTTTTTAATAGCATTGGGGTCCTTTTGCAGTGATTCTTCAAGGCTATTTCATAAAATATGTTGATCCCTAAGAGATTGGAATGCATAACATTCGTTTAATATATTTAAACGAAAAATTATATATATAACAATAAATAACTAACATTTTAATAATATATTTAATCAGCGATGTTAACTCCTTGTGGATATTATATAATTCAAAACTGATACAATATTTTAGGTTTTTTGTACAAGGAAGCTTTCTTCCCGATTAGTAATTTATAGAGAAATCAATTTTTTGTATTTTTTAAAGAGTACCGTACATTCGTATTGTTTTATATATGTGTATAGTATTGTTATACTTATATATGTAATTTAATTAAACTTGTTGGGGGTCAGAAAAAAAAAAATACCGTATATTCTATCTAACATCATATTTCCTTAGCTTATCGATTACGACTACACCAATCGACTTTACATTACATAAATAAATAAAGAGAAAAATAAATAATAAATAAAATATCACTCGTTTAAGCGGGTATAAAGACGAGCCGTTGAGTGCGGAGAGGCAGTTTTGGATTTATTCACTAGGCAGTCCAATTACCCGCCAATATCGCCCAGAGGTGGAACTCTCGGGGAATAAATGGCTTTTAATGCCGGTAGCCTCCTGGCGCGATCTGCAGGAATCGCTTATCATAACTTATACCATCAATCATCGTCCATATTATAGTTTCGATTCAGGTTCATGAAAATATACAATAATACAATATAAAATATATAATAAAAATATATTTGAGTTAAAATAAATTTAAAAAAATAAGGTGTGTGTTTTAGACCATACGATAGAAGTGAAAACAATTAAACAAGACGAGATTAATAACATATAAATTACAAACAATATCTCATTATAAAGAAGATGAAATGCTGAACATTTTCCTCGCTTTTAGTATGCATATCCAATTTTTAGTTTCTGAGATATTTTAATCAATATGTTTAATAAAACTCATTATAATTATGTTTTCGAAATTATTTTTTTCCTTTTCCCCTCTCTAACACGGCGCACAGTGGAACGAAAAACAAAGTATTTTATTTTATAGATAAGCTTTATATTTTAGTCTACCAGATAACTGGTGGTATCGGATGAACAAGGAAAGATTATTTTGTTTCTCATGATGAAATTTAATTTCAAAGATTAAAAGTGTTATTGGGAGAGTAATTTTGCATGAAATGTGATAACGATTTATATTAAATCATAGCTGCAAAGAAAAGGCAAATTTCAAGGAAATTAAAATACAGAATACTTAATGTGATCTCTACTTAATGTATTTTTTTTCGCATTAACGCTAATACTAGACCGCAGTAAAATGATTTTAAAAATTCGTTCTTTTAGAGTTATTTTTAATTTTTTTTTTACTTAATTAATGAATATTTAATTTTGCTGCCATAAACCGTCCATTTCAGTATCAAATATCTCTGGGATAGTAGTCAACATGTTCAGAGACAATTCAGCCGTGACCGCCTTTTGGTACTTTTTTCTTGTTATTTTTTTTCCTCACATAATTGCTAAGAAAATTTTGATAAGACCATTTCAATGTTTAATTACAGTTATTAGTCGACGTGATAAATCGATGTGTAATAGCTCGTTACAAAGAGGATGAAATGATGAACATTTCTCTCGCTAACAATATGCATCTCCAATTTTTATTTTTTGAGATATTTTAATCCATATACAAAAATACTTCAATTAGTCGACTCCAGCCGACTTTACTTGAGCGTTACACATCGGAGATCTGACGGCTCAATCTAATTAACTCTCTAAAAAAAAAAGTGCGAAACGCATCTAGAGAAGTTAAAAAAAAAAAAAAAAAAGACTACAGAAATCGGGAAATTCTGTCTGGCAGAATGTTCTTCCATATCTACAGAAGCACCTTGGTAGATTGACATATGCCAATTTGTTTTTTTTATTGATGATATTTACAACTGTATTACAAGTAAAAATACATTCAGTAAATGTGAACAAAGGAATAAAAAAGCATGAAATCACATGTTGAGAAACTACCCATTGGTAGCACTCTAAAAATGTATTTACAAAAGGGGATCTCGAGGCCATCTTCTTTTCAGACGCCTCTGAGGGTTGTCAGGGATCGAAGAGGAAGCAAGGTTAGAAACGAGAAGGTTTGGGTGGTTCTGAAGTTTGTTATGGAAGGATAGGTATCTGGATTGGGCCAGGTCAGAAACATAAGGAACATTAAGGTCGTTATGGATGATTTTGTTTGTGACAAAGTAAGGAGCAGTGAGGATTTTACGAAGGATTTTGGATTGTAAGGATTGGATACGAGAGGAATTCGATGGCTTAGTGGAGCCTCAGAGATCAACTCCGTAAGTCCAAATAGGTCTTATTGTAGTCATGTATATGAGTCTTTTGTAACTGACTGGGAGGTTAGAGCGTTTGTCTAGTAAGTGCTGGAGTAGTCGGAAACGTCGAGCTGTTTCTTGTCGTTTCAGTCTGGTATGAGAATTCCAAGTTAGACGTTTGTCTAAGTGGAGTCCAAGGTATCGAATTTGTTCAACAGGGA